CTTCAGGGTGGTGTGACTGGACCAAGCTTTGCTGGCTTTGGACTGGAAAAGGGAGAGAAGAGGGAACTGAAGCTGACTCCTAAAAACAGGAGTAGCCATGAACATCCCTTAAAGCATGGACAAGGAAGAATTTTTTGACGGGTGGGGAAAGCTATAAATTTCCAATGCTTTCTGAGTTTCTTTGTGTAGAAAACACTGTGTTCCCCTAATATCCCCAACACCTCAGTCTCTGACTTTCTACTTACTGGATCCACCGCACCCCCACCCCCACCCCGGCTTTTATCTCTCTGGTGGAATAAAACCCTCTCAGGTTCAAGCTGCCTTCCCAGGAGGTCCTTTGCAAGTACAGAAGAAAAGCATAGGTGCAGAAGGACACAAGCTTTGGAGACAGGCAGACCTAGATGCAAATCTTTCATCTGCCGCTCAGTATCTATGTGACCTTGGGCAAGCACATTAACCTCTCTGAGACTCTGTCTCATTGTTTATAAAATGGGTTAATGAGAAAATAGAAGGCAAATAGGACTTGTCAAACAGGACTCCATGGATGATGGTCAGGGTAATGTCACTGAGTGCTTCTGAGCTGTAGAGTAACACATCCTGGAGGCCCCTGAAATCCCCACCCCTCTAAGTACTCATGCCTTAGATCCAGATGCTTCCCACATTCCCCTTCTCAGTATTTCCCACATTCCTGAGAACGGCCTCAGCAGAAACCAGTAAACTCACCTGGCACTGCCTATTCTACTCAACAGGGGCTACATCACATCATAGCACATAAAAATAACTAATTGCTTCCCACAGCACTTTCCCTCCCTTGCGCCCTTTGATCCTCCCAGCTGTGAGGTAGATGGATATTACTTTCCTCCCGATTTTATAGAGGAGACAACTGAGGCAGAGTAAGGGTAGGTCTTCAGGGCAAGGATTTGAGCCTTGATTCTGAATCCCCTGTGCTTTCTTTCTGTCTCGTGAGTCTCAATTAGTACTTTGGGATCCAGACTCACCGAGGGGAGAAGGAGAAGGGGTATATTCTATGTGTATGGCTGAAAAGTCCTCAGCACACCTTAACAGGCACCTTGTGAGCAAACAAGTACATGTTAGGAAATGCAGCATCTGGGAACGTTCTGAGACCACAGGAGACGACCCTAATGCTAATGAGAATTAGGGGGCAGAATGGACAGGGAGTCAAATGAGGGGGAGGCTGGGGTCCTAGCTACATGTCAGTCACTGACATCCCAAGTAACCTTGGGCAAGTTTCTGATGTCCCCTCTCGGTCCCCCCTTCTTCAACATATGATAAGATAGAAACTCAGTGTAGGCAAAAAGACATCTGCAATCCTCATCATCATTACTGTGGCTTTGAAAACAACAGCTCAGAGACCCCCACTACCACCACTTTAAAAATTTTTAAAGACAAAACAATATAACTTAATAGTTCTGCCAACTCCTCAAAAAATCAGAGCACAACACTGATTTTTTTTTCTTTTTTCTTCTTCAATAGTTCTGCCAACTCCTCAAAAAATCAGAGCACAACACTGATTTTTTTTTCTTTTTTCTTTCTTCTTCTTTTTTTTTTTTAAATTTTGGCAGAGGAAGATTCTGTTCCTGGAAATGCTTACAAAATGATTCCTGACACTGGGAGGAGATAGTTAAAAAAAAAGAAAAAGAAGAAGAAAAAGGAAAATTATATACCTATATAGAAATACATAGATAAAGGAAGAAGACCGAAAGAAAAGGAATAAACAAAAGAAAGAACTAAAAGAGAAAGTTAAAAAAAAAAGACTTTAAAGGGCCCCAATTCAAGGAACGTTATCAAGTTCTTAGCATCTGCAATTCACAAGGCGCTCGCGGGTCGGGGCGGTGCAGACCCCGCCCCTTTCTCGGGTGTCGGGCGCTCATTGGTGGGGGAGGCAGTCGCCGGCCGGTGACTGCCCGAGGAAAGGTTGCCTGGGACACGCATCCCTGTGTGAACGCATGACGTCCCACCCTGGCGCCAGGCTGTCTGGGGCTGAGTCTTAGATCAACACAGCTGTGGGACCGGGACCCACAGCTGGGCAAAGGAGCGGATTCCTCAACAAAAAATAGGATTGTGAGAAAAGTTCTGAAACAAAAACAGCGCAGACAAAAGCCTTAATGACATCCTTTCATAAAAATAAAAAATGCAAGAGGGGGGAAAACGCTGGTAAAAGGAGCAGAACTGGGAACAGAAAGTTCAGAGGCATTTGGAATAAGAGGCTGAGGCCCCGCCACCGCTAAACAAGTTTACAGAAGGCCTGAGCTAGCCCGTCCAGTCCGCTGTTGGGAAAAAGAAGTCTCTTGGGTTTAAAATCTATTCGGTGTTCCCAACCATGGCCTACTTCTTTCAGAATTAGAATCTTAGATTGGAGAGGACCCTTAAAAGTCGTTTGCTTTCCCCCACCCTTCTTACCCCCCCCCCTTTTTAAAACAGAAAATAAGGCCCAGGAAGGAAGGAAATTCATCCAAGGGCACACTGCAAGTTATTGGCATGGACCGGACAGAGTTCTGCTTGCTAATCCCAGCGCGTCTTTCTGCCTTATGTCACACAGCCCATGGGTATTTCAGCCTGGAAGCATCCTGGAAAATAATAAATGTGAAGGTGCTTTTCAAACCATAAGCCTGAGGCATCAGTGGTAGTAATGGAGAAGGGAAAAGGGGAGAAGAGAATCTGGGTGGATGGATCATCTACCACACACACCTGGCCCCATACTGGGCCCCAGGGCACCAAGGAGACTGAAAGATCAGATGGAGAGAGCATGTTAAGTGCTTTGCGAGAAGAGGCCTTCTTGTCAAATGAATGAGGTAGGTCCAATTAGCTCCATTTTACAGATGGGAAAATTGAGCACAGAGACTTGATTTACCCAAAGTTCACACAAGTAGTAAAAGAGCAAAATGGGGATTTAAATATAAGTCTGCCTGGCCCCAAAGGCTATGATCTTTCTAGAACCTCCTGGGCTTGACTGTTTTGCACAGAAGTCTACATGATAGGGAAAGAAAGAATCTTCTACGAGGGTACTTCAAAAAGTTCATGAAAAGAACCGTATCATCTTTTAATTCTATTTTTCCAGAGCCACCATGTTCCCTGCCCATGACCAAACAGCTGACACTTGACTTCTATAGCATATATAGACTGGCTTGTCTACTCACAGATTATTTTCTCCCTCTTTCTCATAGGAAAGAGGCTGTCCTTGAAAACATTAATATTCTAGGAAGAAATCTTCTTGGGACCCAGAGCCCTGTGGTATGATGGAAAAGAATGAGGTTTCAGGACTGGCTCTGCTCTTATGGTGTGATATTGGACACTTTATATCCCCTCTTTGGGCCTTTTGCCATCCCACACTTGTCTGTCCAAATTTCACAAAGCTTTAGGCCTGGCCCGTGGCTCACTCCGGAGAGTGTGGTGTTGATAACACCAAGGCCATGGGTTCGGATCCCATATAGGGATGGCCGGTTGGCTCACTTGGAAGAGCCTGGTGCTGACAACACGAAGTCAAGGGTTAAGATCCCCTTACCGGTCATCTTTTAAAAAAAAAAAAAAGATTACATGATAAATTATTGGTAGAGTTGGCATGTTGAACCCCAAGCTCCTGACTCCAGTCCAGCATCCTTTATAACTATTTGAGTCACCCCTAATTTTGAGCTCCGATTGTCCTGTTAATCAGTGCTGCACACTATTGAACTCTTGTTTCCTGTGTTAATCTTGTCTCTCCAAATTGTGAGATTCTTGAGAGTAAGAGCCACTGTTTTGTGCGAAGCGACTCCATAAATATTTACTGATTGATTAAGAAAGCAACCATTGGGGGAATCCCACTTGGTCACTTCCAAGATGGAAACTAGCATCTTGGAACTGCGAACTCCCAAAAGTCCTGGGAGGTGACAAGAAGACAAGCAAAGAAGACTGAGCGCAACATCCTGTTGCAATATAAGGTTTAGCTTGCCTTCTCTATGATCCCTTTCCTGGTCTCTCACATAGAGTTGGAGCTACTTCAGCAGGGCTAAGAATAATCAAGTCCAGGTGGCCTGCCCTTCCATAGCAGAAAGAAACAGACAATAGAGTGATGAAATTAACCATTGTTTTCTGCTCAGAGGTGTGTTGAAAGTGGGGGGTAAAAGGGGAAGCGAGAGTTAAAAGAGATTTGCTGACCCAATGGGGGGCTTCTAAAAGGTTTATGTAAAAATCGTTCCTTCTGTTCCCCCGTATTTAAAACCCTGTCCAAAATTCTAATCAAACGCACTTCCAAAGCACAACTGGGCATGTATTTTACTCCTTACGAAGTTCATGGAGTGGAGGGTCCGAGCTCTTTTCTTTCCCAACGCAAAAAAGTATAGTTTCATGCTGCTTTCTTTTTTTCCCCCTCTTTTCCCCCGTTGCTCAAATAAAGTGTTTTTTGCTCAAACCTTCTTCCCCTCCTCCTTCTGCAATCTCAGCGCCTAGCCCAAATCTGTTTTCTTCATTGTAACCTCAGCTTCACCGCAATTAATTTTTTTTCCCTCTGGTCACAAGATAATTCCTGACGCCAGTGAGTCTGGAGGTCAGACGAACAGCAAATTGGGGAACAAGGCGGCACTAATTCCTTACAAGTTTCTCTTGAAAAATCTTTTGCTTGAAAAAAAAAAAAAAAGCTTCTTTGCTGTTCAGGGATTTATGACCTCGCAGGAGCTGCGGGTTCGAACCAGTGTTAGGCTAAGGGCGGATTGGCACGGGGCAGGAGAGCTCAAAGACCTGGGGCACTGCCAGGAAAAGGCAGATTCTTAAAGCTAATGGTTTTAAGTGATTTTTTAAATCCTTGCTGGCGAAGAGGCCCGCCTCTCCCCGGTATCAGCGCTTCCTCATTCTTTGAGTCCGCGGCTCCGCGGTTTCGGCGTCAAACCAGCCGGAGGAAGCCTGTTTGCAATTTAAGCAGGCTGTGAACGCCCAGGGTCGGAGGGGGCGGGGCAGAGGCGGGCTGTTTTGAATAAAGGGGCGTGGCCTCGAGCGGGCTCTATAAGTGCGGGCGCCGGCGGGCGTGCGCGCGTTGCAAGCTGCTCTAGGACGTCCTTGGGTCTTTACGTGTTTTCTGCACCTCCGACTTCACTCCCCGACATGAAGGCGCTGAGCCCGGTGCGCGGCTGCTACGAGGCTGTGTGCTGCCTGTCAGAACGCAGTCTAGCCATCGCGCGGGGCCGCAGCAAGGGCCCGGTGGCCGAGGAGCCGCTGAGCCTGCTGGACGACATGAACCACTGCTACTCGCGCTTGCGGGAACTGGTGCCCGGAGTCCCGCGAGGCACTCAGCTTAGCCAGGTGGAAATCCTGCAGCGTGTCATTGACTACATTCTCGACTTGCAGGTGGTCCTGGCCGAGCCGGCCCCTGGCCCCCCAGACGGCCCGCATCTCCCCATCCAGGTGCGCGTGGGAGCCGGGGCGGAGCTGGGCGCCCGGGTCGGGATGCTGTGGGACCCCCAGATTTCCCAAGTTCTTTGCGTAACTCTCTCCTCTTTTTTCTCTTAGACAGCCGAACTCGCTCCGGAACTTGTGATCTCCAACGACCAGAGGAGCTTCTGCCACTGACCTGGCCGTCCTGACACCTCCCGGTGAGTATCTTCCCCTCCGGGAGGTAGGGAGACGTAAATGGCAAATCCTGGAGTTGTCAGGCTTCCTCGGGGATTATCGCTCTCTCTTTAGCTTTAGGGAAACTAAGGTCTGGAAGGAGCAAGAGACATGCCCATGGTCACGTTAAATGAATGGCAGAACCAATTTCCATTTAATGTGTACTTCAGCCTTTAACGCATGTTGTTTCTGCCCTGCCCCAGTGGCCAGAGATCCGGGCAAAGTATAGGCGTGGGTCCTACTAAATAGGCTTTCTGCTACGAGTCGTAAAGGGAGCTGTGTCTTTGCCCCCTCCCAACTAGTGTCAGTTCTTAAGGGGAGGGGTAGTGCAGGCTCCGCCTGTGGTCCTTTGGCGCCAACTGGGTGGGGGCAGCGTGGGGCGCGGAGTTATCAGCTGGAGGTAGAGACCAAGTTTCCTCCCTGGCGCCGGCCAGTCTGCCTCGGCGCGCTCGGCGGAAACTGACGGCTCCCTGGTCTTCTTTCCTCCCCCGCCCAGAACACAGGTGCTGGCGCCCGTCCCGCCTGGGACCCCGGGACCCTCTCCGGCCGGAAGCCCGAGGGCATGGATGGGCCCCAACCTCGCCCGGCCCACTTGACTTCCCCAAACCCCTTCCTGGAGGCTGGATCTGGAGTCCAGGAGCAAAGGACTGTGAACTGGGGTGGCCCGAAGAGCCAGAGCCAGAGCTAGTTCTGGTCACCAGCTGGGCAACATCACCCTGTCTGCACCCCATTCCCAAGTTTTAAAGACAGTCTCTTCAGAGTGTGGAGGTGGGGGTGGGGGAGTGGCTGCTCTCCAAACTCTGCCAAGGCAGTGGTAGAGCTGGTCTTCTGGTCTTTTTGGAGAACGGCTCTGTTGCCCTGATTATGAACTCTATAATAGAGTATATAGCTTTTGTACCTTTTTTGCAGGAAGGTGACTTTCTGTAACCATGCGATGTATATTAAACTTTTTATAAAAGTTAACATTTTGCATAATAAACGGTTTTTAGACACTTGTGTATATAATTTGATCAGATGGCTGTCTCCCCATTCTCTACTACTTTCTCACATGGCTGAATTTAGGGAAGTATCTTTCTTGGAGCTTGGAAGTAAACTGGCTTATTCTCTTAAGAGGGAGATAAGAAAACTCCCAGATGAAAACTAGGGTGGGGGCAAAGGATGGAAAGGGCTTGTGATGGGAACCCTATATCAATTGAGAGTTGCATGCATTAAAAAGATGCTGGCCCTGACCCCTCATTTTACAGATGAGGGAAGAATGGTGCAAGCTCACCCAGCAAGTTGGGGGCTCAGGCAAGTTGAGACCACAGTTCTCAGGTCCTTGGAGACCTAGCAGTGGCTGTGCTCTTCAATGTCATTAATTATTCATGATGTCTTTCTAGAAGGGGATGTGGTTAAGAGTGGACCCTTGAGTTTGTCTCACCTGGTGCCCAGACTTGGGTGGCAGTTGATAGACCCATTTCAGACATGAATGAACTGATCGCTGGGGCCTGGTTTCATTTCCTTTACTCTGGTTTGGCTTCCTTGTGGTCTTCCAAAGTTGGAAGAAGAGAGGAGAGGGGTCTCTTTCCTCATATCCAAAGCCACTTTGACAAGGATTTGGAAACTGGTTGGGAAGTACTGGTACTAATTGCTCTAACACTAGGTAGTTGTAGACTCTGATCCTGAGCTGGGAATTTGAGGAAGAGTCCCCACAGCCCTTCATCCCTTCTGGTGTTCCTACATCACCTCCATTGGGAACCTACTCTATAAGCATCTTTATTCCTATTTTAGAAATAGGGTAATGGGTCTGAACCAGGTTCTCTCACAGCCCATGGAGAGGTAAAGATAGGATCTGAACATTAACTACAGTGACTGGTGGACAGAAACAGGTCTGGGACTGGCCATTCTATGGGCCAGGCCTGGGAGTGGGGCAGAGGGCAAGACCCCAACCCATGCTGTCCCCCACCTGGTGGCTCCCCAGGTGGGCTCCATTAGGAGCCAGGCCTCAGCTGTTTATATGATCTCATCTGTGTGTTGGCCCCTGGCATGAGTTACTTACATATTTCATAACAAACAGATCATATCATCCTGCCTTAACCCTGGTGAGCTTCATGGGGTGAACATGGGCATGGAGGGAGGGCAACCTCTGTCTTTGCCAACCATCCTCCTATCTTAACTAGTGGTTGTTAACCTGTTTGGGTCCCGGTGTCCTCTCATGATCTGACAAAAGGTATGAACACTCTTCAGAAAATACACAGAGACATACACCTTTGCAGACCAACAGCAGATCTCCAATCCCCCTGGAAGCCCTCAATCCCCAGGTGAGGAAACCCTTGCCCCAAACCAAGTGCAAAACCCCAGCTGGGTTTATGTTGGATTGTTTTTTAGGTGTGCTGTGCTGGCTCTGGAAACAGCCACACAAGGGTGCAACTCCCTGCTCTGCCACATACTAGCTATAAAACTGCAGGCTAGAGACTGCTTCTCTTGAGCCTCAGTTTCTGTGCTTGTGAAAGGGAGCTGATCTTGAGGAAGCTGTTCTGTGGTGCCACATTACACCATTAATTGCAATGGAGCCAGGCATTGAACTCAATGTCTTGTACCCTTTTCCACCACAGCATACTGCCTCCTGCTAGCTTAGGAGATGCGGGTTGTGGAAGCCTAGAAAGATCTGCAGCGCTCACTTACCATGTGACCATGAGCAAGCCACTTCACCTCTCTGAGCCTCTCTCCTTTCTCCTGCCCTGCTGCCTCCCTGGACGGAAGATAATGGTGGGAAAGTTCTTTGAAATGCATCACACACCTACGAGGTATTATTAAGCTAATTCCAAGGAAATTGCCTGTCAGGACTTCCAGGACTGAGCTGTTCAGGTGGCCAGGACAAAAGCTTAGGCCAGCACGCCAATCCATTAGTCATCGGAGAGTGAAAGCAATTTGGCCCTAGGTCAGAAAACTCTCAGAACAGTCTTTCGTCGTAATCACTTATCAATTGCCTACCAGGTGCCAAACTCTTACTTTATCTTAATTTTTTTCTAATCTTCATCACAACCCAGCAAGGTTGGTACCATTGTTCCTGTCTTACAGAGAAAACAGAGTCAGAGAGGCTGAATAACTTGATCCAGGTTACACAGCAAGGAAGTGGCAGAGCAGAGTTTGGGAATCCCAGCTTCCTCTAGCTCAAAGCCTGTGTTCCCGCCTCTACTTGTGATAGGCTCTTTTCCCTCTCCATTCCCTGAGCCTGGCACATATTTAGGCCCCAGTGGGTGCTTGTTGAATGAAAGACCTAAGGCCACCCCAGGTCTCCCCCATTCATCTGAGAAAAGGGGATGACGGTACCTCCTTTCCAGGTTTGTGGTTCGGATAAAAGACAACGTGCCTAAAGTGTCTACCAGGCTCCCTGTATTACAAGATTCACTGTTAACTCAGTGTCTTATGCTCATAATCGCATGCCATCTGCCCAACAGCTCCGAAATAGACATTTGGGAGCTAATAATAATAATAATAAAGCTCGGAACAGGCGAAGTAACTTGTACATGGCCACACAGCTCCTAAGTAGCAGAGCGGGGATTCAAATTCATGCATGTGACACCAGAAACGGTGCCCTTTCGAGAAGGCCAGTTATGGCTTTCTAGCTGTGGATGCGTGGGACAACCTTCAATTATCTGTCTTCCTGGCTTCATCACCTCTCCAGGCCACCAGTCTTTTCCGTGCCCCAGGATACCCCCTAAAATCCTGTCGCTCTCTTTCCCGCAGAGCTGATTCCAGGGCTCCCCTTTGCGCACTCCCGAGCCTCCCAGGAGAGAGCAGCTCCCCACGGGCGGCTTCGCGGCGCCCGGGCCGGGGCGGAGCTTCGACCCACGTGGCCCGGAGCCCGGCTGGGCGGGGCGGAGCCGGCACGG